TGTCTGTCTGTCTGTCTGTCTGTCTGTGTATCTGTGTGTGTGTGTCTGTGTGTCTGTGTATCTGTGTGTCTGTGTGTGTCTGTGTGCGTCTGTGTGTGTGTATGTGCATCTCTGTGTGTGTGTGTGTCTGTGTGTGTGTGTCTGTGTGTGTGTGTGTCTGTGTGTGTGTCTGTGTGTGTGTCTGTGTGTGTCTGTTTGTGTGTGTGTCTGTGTCTGTGTGTGTATGTGTGTGTGTGTCTCTGTGTGTCTGTGTGTGTCTCTGTGTGCGTCTTTAGCAGAGACACAACTTCACAGTGTACAAAAAGATTTAAAATTTTTATGTGTGTGTGTGTGTGTGTGTGTGTGTGTGTGTGTGTGTGTGTGCTTGTCTGCACATGCACCACTGCAAGCAGTGTCCACAGTAGACAGGATAGGGAATTTGGTATCCTGGATCTGGAGTTTCAGACAGTTGTGAGCCAGATCATGGAGAGACCTGCATAACACACCCCTTGCTCCGCCCCAACCCCAATGCTGCTACAGAGGAGCAAATTCCAGAGCAGACAGAGCCAATCTTACTACTGAGGAGCTTCCTGGAGGACAGACAGTTGAAGCTCTGGTGTGTGCATGCAGGAGCTGTTCCCTGTCAGCCTGGGGTTCAACAAGCAGCACAAACCTGCTTTCATTCTGTCTGCTGAGAGCCTCCTGATGCCATTTGCCCAGCATGAGGGTACAGGACACAGCAAATAAGAAAATGGGGCGCCAGCCAGGCCTTGGCTGCTGTCTGAATTCAGATGTTCAGACTGAGATTCTGGCCCTGAGTTTTACTTAGAAAACAGACTGAAGAGGAAGGGACACATTGGATGCTTCCTCACTTTCTCCCAGCACAGGGCCCCCTGCCCTCCCCATCCACAGCACCGGGGGTGCACGTGTGTCCTAACAGCCCGTCCAGAGGTCACAGCTGTTAACTGTGGAGGCCTCAATGTGCAGCTAAATCTGCAGGTGCACTGAGACCAAGAGCTGTCGGCCATGGGGGTTTCCATCCAGATGTCACATGGAGCATGACCCAGGTTTTGTTGTAAGGGTTGGGCTGCCACAAAGAGAACTCACCCAGGCACCATCTGGGGACCACAGGACAAGGCCACCACAGAGTCCCCATAAGACAAAGCCAAGTCTATCCATGTGAGAAGTTGATGACTGGACTAAACAGGGAAGCTCCTGGGTTGGCTGGGCCAGATAAGCCATAGGGGAGGCTCCCTGACACCTCGAGGGACCACTGCCTCCTATTCTGCAAGAAAGAAAGACCTGGATCTGGAGTCCTGAGGCTCTGGTGTGTAAGTGTCCTCTAAAGTAACTGTGTTGGGAACACTGACCCATTGCAACAGAGACAAGAAATAGAACATTAACAAGTGACCATTTAAAGAGGACTTATCGTAATGAAAGGGGTAATGACTTCAGGAATACATACATGCAGAATACATATGTACAGATTTACAGCGTAGGTTTTGCTTCATGGCACTGGGAAAGGACAAAGAGGAATTGTAAACACCAACAACTCGACATGGACAGTTGTGCAGACAGTGAGAAGAAGGAACCTACAGGGTTTGGGAAACCCTGGCAGACCAGTGGCCTTTATTTGCTGATTGGCTTCTGACCCGGGAGATGTTAGCAGCCTTCACGCTCTCTGCACCCCTGCTCGGGGTACACAGATTGAATTCTGTGAAATTGTTGATTCTGACCAATGCTGATATACGAAAATATAATTTCATATCTAAAACCAATTGAAATTGTGTTTTTCATTCAGGCAGGAAGGCAGCAGACGCTGGAGAAACACTGCGGGCTGGTTCCAAGTAAACAGCAGACACCACCCTGTGCTAGGTTGTCAGAGGAACCGCTAAGTCTTCAAGGCACCAAATAGCACACCGTAGATGCTCCTTGTCTAGGAGGCTGACACAAGCATTAATTCCAGGGTCAGCTCCCAGGTCCATTTGAAGGAGAGAGAGAGAGAGAGAGAGAGAGAGAGAGAGAGAGAGAGTGCTCCAAGGTCCCTCCAACAGTAGAGAGAACACTGACTGCTTCCCGCCACAGCACTTCTACCACAGGGTGCAGGGCTCATAAACACTGGAGTTCAGAGAGAAGAGAAGATGTCATGTTCCCCCCTGACATATTAGCCAGATGTATGAAATGCCACAGATCCCAGTGAGGGCACAAAACAGTCTTCCAGACAGAGCCCCCCATTGTCTCTTAATTGCTCATTTTTTTTCCTTTTAGTTTTTAAATCTTCTTAATATTTTAGAGAGGTTCTGGACAGTTCATTATTTAAAACCCTGAGTTTTTCATCTTTTCCAGCACCTAGGAAATTCGATGTTAGACTGGAGGGTGTCTCATAAAAAGAAGGGGGACAGGACCCACGTGAGATTCCATCCACAGGCCTAGGAAGAGCATCCAGGATCATTTAAATGGAAATAATTTGAAATTCTTATGCTTGAAAGAAACAGTCAAAGAAATAATGAGTTTTAAAAGGTGTTGACCAAATGAAGCTAGTTTTCTGTCTTCCCCTCCCCCAGCAGCTCAGCCCCTGAGGTGTGCACTTACGTCGGGGGTCCCTGACCAAAGCCACAGGAGGGCTCAGCGCCATCAGCAGCAGGACCACAGCTGCCACACAGGAGCCTCTGGGGAGCCACAGACCCATCATGGTGGAGGAGAGGTAGGTGGCTAGAGAAGCAGGCCAGCCTGGCTGGCAGGGACTGTGAGCAGCTCCGCCCACTGGTACCTGGCTGGGCACCTTCAGTGCAGAGGAACCAATCAGCAGCAAGACAGGGGTCAGCATCATCAGTTGGTGGGCAGAAGTTCAGTATGAAGGTCTTTCTGAAGTTTCCAGTTTCCAATGTTAAACAGAGGGCTTCAGCTCAGGGCTCGATCAGTTTGCATCTGCAGGACTTCAAACGCATGCTGAGGAGCCACCTCTTGTGACTCAGGTCAGCCTTGACACTGTCATTCTGCATTAGGACGATTCAACCCATGGGAGTCCAGTTCCTACTGTGGGTCCCATACTGACTTCCCCATTGTCTGAGGGAAATCCCTCCATTCCTTATTCCCCTCCTGCTTTATCCTGAGAAAGCTCAGAAGAAGTCTTGCTAACAGATGCCTATAAAGTGTTGGTTTAGAAAGACGATCTCTATACATACAGTATGAATACAGTATATAAACACAATCATACTATTTGTGAAATATGAACCTTGTATTTGTGGTGATATATTATTTATGATGTATTAAAGCTTCAAGATGAAGACCAGGAAAGCAAAGCAGCTCCACCAAACTTCAGACTGCAATGCCAGTCTGCTGTGCTCTCCTCGACGTGGCTGGAGAATCCGGAGACTGAGGCCTTCCCATCCTCTAGGTGGCTGGAGATTGAATGCCAGCTCTGAGACCTGCTCCTGTCTTAAATACCCCTCATGAGTACTGGGATTAAAAGCTTGTGATCCCAAGTGCTGAGATCACTTTGATGTGAGGCTGTTTCTCTTTAGGACTGGATCAATTTCGTGTCCATCAGTGTGGCCTCAATTTTAGAGACTCGTGTACCTCTTCATCTTCAGCCCTAGGATTAAAGGTGTGTAGCACCACCTCCTAGCTTCTGGATGTTGGGATGAAAGGTGTGTGCCTGGTTTCTATGCCTTGTGGCTGACTTTGCTTTCTGAATCCTCAGGAAAGCTCTAATAAATCATAAGTAATATATCACCACACATACTGCATAATAATGACACATTGTATTAATATAAACATAATGACTTAGATTAAGAATGTACACTGAGTGACAGTGAAGTATAGTAACCGCAATATTAATTCATTCTTTTCTGATTGTCATTCTTTATCTTGCTATTTCTCAGGGCAGAATTTACCATCCTGAAATGAAAATCACTGGAACTAATGGACAAAGTTTTTGGGCAGCTGACTTTTACTCAGAGCTGAACCAAGGGCTTTCTTTCAAAACTCAAAAAAGAAGAATTTTCTTTACACACTATATTTTGATCATGTTTCCCTTTCCATATACTCCTTCCATCTCCATCCCACCTCCCTCCGCACCCGGCTTTATGTTTTTTTTTTCTCTCTCTCTCCAAACAAACAAAACAAAAACCAAGAAACAGTTATATCCACCCCATGAGTGCAAAAGAAAATCAAAACAAATAAGATAAAGACAGATAAGACAAAAATGCCCTAGCAAACAAATGAGAAAAAGAAAGTCTGCAAAATACCCTTGAGTTCATTCCGTGTTGGCTACTCCTGGGCAAGGGGTCTGCCCTGATATGTGGTTGATACGCCCAGTGACAATAGCATTACAGTTAACTTCCTAGTGAAGGGTGAGACCCTCTGCTCCCCTTCTCATCTCAGTAATGGGAACAGGTGCAGGTTTTATTCATGATACCATCGTCTCTGTGAGTTCATATGTGTGTTGTGGACTATTATTTTCACTGAGCAAAGATGCTACATTTTGTTTGTGCTGTGGAACATTACTTTAACTATGTGAAGGTGTTACATTTGTGTCTGCTGCCTTTGTTAATGATGTAAAAATGTGTTACATGTGTTTAATTATATAAAAGGGGGTTGCTGTTTCTCCTTGCCTGCCTAAGGCACCTGATTGGTCTACTAAAAGGTTGAATAACCAATAGCTGGGTAGGAGAGGGATAGAAGGGGCTGGCAGGCAGAAAGAATAAATAGGAGGAAGAATCTAGGCTTGAGAGAGAGAGTGAGAGATGAGAGGGAAAGAGAAACAGAGAGAGAGAGAGAGAGAGAGAGAGAGAGAGAGAGAGATGCCTGGGTCCAGCCAGCCATCTAGATGGAGTAGGACATACAGAAGGAAAGAAAGGTAAAAAGCCCTGAGGTAAAATGTAGATGAAGAGAAACAGGTTAAATTGTACGAGCTAGCAAGAAACGGGCATAAGGCTAAGCATTCATTATTAATATGGTCTCCATGTCATGATTTGGGAGCTGGCTGTTGGCCTAAAAGAAAGCCTGGTATGTGTACATATGTGTACCAGGACTTCTGTGTCTGGAGTACCATCTCCTTGGAGAAATCCATCACCTCTGGCTCTTACAATCTTTCTGACTCCTGCTGCACATACGTCATTGAGCCTTGAGAAGGAAGCTTTATGAAGACATTCCATTCAGTACTGAGTGCTCCAAAGTCCCTCACTCTCTGCACACTGTCCAGTTGTGAGTCTCTGTATTAGTTCCTGTCTACTGCAGGAAGAAGCTTCTACACCAGTTGCTGAACAAGTCACTGATCCATGGGTATAGCAATATATCATAGGAAGTCATCTTACTGCTATAGTCTTTGAGCAGAATAATTGAATTAGGTTTTCCCCTGGGCCCATGGACTATCTGAGGTTCCTGGGCACGTTGGCAGGGTCAGTTATGGGTTCCATCTCATGGAATTTCCCTTAAACTCAAGTAGAAAGCAGTTGGCAACTCCCATGACATCCTGGTCACTACTGCACCCATGGGTCATGAAGCAAGGTTCACTGTTGTAGACCACAGGGAGTGTAGCTGGGAGACACTGATGACCACCTTTCTCTCTGTTAGCATCAAGAGTACCACCTGGTGCCATGAACACTAGTCAGTAGGGCTGAAGCTTCTCATCAGGCAACAACTAAATGTCTCCATGTTTGATGATATGTGTGAATGTAGTCTTCAATAATAGGGACTTAACGAACAGGTTGTGGAGAGCAACCAATAGCCTTGACAACCAATAGCCTTGGCAATAACCTGTGAAGTTTGGGGTTTCCATGGGGCCCCTTCTCAAAATAACTTAACAAGAAGTAACCCCCTCGCACAGAAAATTTTACTTAGTGGTAAAATATGTTTAGTTGGGGCACTGTCCCTGCTACTATTTGGTGACTGTATTAGTCATGGTTCTCTAGAGTCACAGAAGTTATGGAATGAAACTCTCTTTATATATAAAGGGAGATTTTTTGGAATGACTTGCAGACTGTCCAGGAAATCCAACATTGGCTAGGTGCGAATGGAAGTTTTAAGTATCCAGCAGTCGCTAAATCCCATAAGTATGGGTGTCTCAGCTCTTCTGTGTATGCTGGAGTCCTGAGAAGTAGGTTCCAATGCTATGAAGGAATGGATGCGGAAAGGGAGAACAGGTATAGTACAATGTTTCTTCTTCTGTGTCCTTATTTAGAATCCCAGCAGAAGGTTTGGCTCATATTAAAGGTCTTCAGGACTCAAGAACTGATTAAAGACATGTGTCTTCCTGCCTCAAAGGTACAGACTAGTAGTGAATTCACCCACCTTAAAACCAAGCATGGGATCTCTCACAGGTGTGTCCTCCATTTCTGGATTGTAGTTCATTAGTGATATAGTCAAGTAGATAACCAAGAACAGCCATCACACTGACTCTATTTATATTCCTTTCAAATATCAACATTTCATATATCAATATTTAATCATACTCTGAACCCTGAGTTTATATTATTTGCTGGAAAAACCTGCTTCTAGTTGTGTTATGGCTCAGCCCTAGCACACACATTTAATCCAAGAGCTTTCTGCTCCAATATTGTAAAGAATTAAATAAAAGGAATCATAGGTTAAGATTCAGAGGAAGCAACAAGTTCATTGACATAATGCAGATTATAATTACTATCAGTCCTGTAATTCATATTTTATTCTTAACAGCCATAGTGGTTTTTGTGCCAAATATGAAAAATGGATTGGTAAGATACAAGCAATAGAAAGACTTATAAACCAAAGACAAATTCTTAGATACTGACAGAGAAATTTAGACAAGAACCTATTGTGCTCTGTGCAAAGTAACAGAAGAGTGAAGAGCAGTGACCCAAGGTTATTAGAAAACCAAGGTGAGTTTATCCAGCTACTATACAGGAACTAGCAGCAGACAACAGGAACTCCTGTGAAAGGTGGAATTTAACGGAATCCTATAGAAATGTTTGATTTGAGATTTAAGTATTGTTTGCATTCACCCTTTGTGAAACAGATGCTAAATTCATGGTAATCTCAGAACAGAATTATCCCTCAAAATTGGAAAGATTTGGCAACAGCAGTATTGGAAGCTGGTCCTCGGTTACAATGGAAAACATGGTGGAAAGAGGAAGCTGGGGCCATAGAACAAGGAAATAGGGCTAGAGGTATTATTGTTTCCCAAGACAGTTTCTAGGTGAAGGCTAATCTGCTGAGTTACAAAGAAAGCTTCAGCTGGATGACCACACCTTGGTGGTCATAATACCAACACCTTGGTATTATGTCATTTAGCAACTTTAAATGCTTGGGACAGATTGAAGAATAGAAAAGAGGACTGAGTCATTTACTAAAATAATACAATGTCCAAAGAATCCTTCACTGATTTTTTGCAAAGATAGACTTCAGTTGTAAATAGAATAGCATTGGATCCAAAAGTCAGATGAATATTAATTGAATCTTTGGGTTTTGAAAATGCTAATTCAGAATGCAAAAGGGTGATCCTGCCTTTAATGGGAAGACCAGCACCATACATGAATGGATTGGAAATACGGCTGATATTGGATCTCACATTTATGATGCTACACTGATAAGAGAAGGAATTTAAAAATCTTAGGAAAAATCAAAATGTCAGATGTTTTTTATCATGGCAAGCAAGGTAATTTGAATAGGGATTGAGATGAGGTCTTCAAGAATGGAGTAAAATATGAAGAAAAAAAAAAAACCTCAGAGACAATTATTGCTGTTCAAGCTGAAGATCAGAAAAGCAAAGCCACCAGCCACTAGCTCTTACTCTACCTCAGGCCAAAATGGGTGATGCTATCTTCACAAATCTAAGAGACAAAATGAGACCCTTTGATTCTTCCTTTTATACCTCTCTGCCCCCAGCCGTATCACCCCTGTCTCCACCTCCCTAATGCTGGGATTAAAGGTGTACAATACCTAGTGCTGGGATCACCTTTGTGTGAGCTGTTTCTCTTGAGGACTGGATCCAAGATGTATGCCCACACTGAAACCAGTACGTTGCTTCAATAACTTATGAATGTCAAAAGCAGGCTGTTTTAAATTGAATATTTCTTGATCATTCAGATTAAACAGTGTGAGAGATGTCCCCAAACTGTGGGTCATCTGGGCTGAATTCCCCCACTGAAGGCAAAGCAGAGACAGTCTCTCCACTTATGCTGAGTGTGAGGAGGCAGAACAGAAGCTGGTTTCCTGAGGGACTGCAGCTGTGTTGGTTTCTGGACACCTGGATCAGTCTGCACAGACCTTTGCTATAGACCCTAAACTTGACACATGAACCCACAGAAGTGTGTTCACATGAATTAAGAAACTGTATACTTTTTGTTCTCCAAGGTGGGTTTAAAGCAAGCAGCTTTCTCTGGCTGCCTTGGAGTCGGTCATTACAGATCAGCTACTGAGGGTGGGTGACTGTGGGAAGCATAGGACAGAGAGACCAGAGCAGTCCAGGGATGGGATGCTGGAATAGGGGTCAGGAGAGACTGTGTCAGGCTGGGTGTGTGGCTGCAGGAGACCATGCCAGGGTCAGGATGACACACAGGGAGGGGAGGAGGGATACACCTGGTGAGCACAGGCAGGACAGAGGATGAGAAGGTGCCTGTGCATGGCTGTCCCGGTCTGCTGGACCAGCACTGTGGAGGTTCGCTGCTTTGTCTGGTTGTAATCTTGGTACCACCACAAGTTGCTGCTTGGACAAGGTCCTGACTGTCTCTCTTGCTACTTTTGGAAGAGCAAAGCACATGACTCTGTGTCCCTTCCCTGGACTCACAGAGAATATGGCCACACTGTCTTGGATGGCATTTCCCTTTAGGCTCAGTGTGGTCCCAGAAGAACACAGGTGCTGTGGGAAGATTGCAGCAGGCACACAGGGCTGGACCTGGCCTACCATTAAAGATTGGTTTACGAGTTCCCTCCTCTCACACAGACTCTCATGGATTCCATTCTTGTGTGTTTGATCTGATTATATGTTGTCTATTAAAATTCAATACAATTTTAAGATTATCAAATCAACAAGTATTATATAACGCTGAATTTATTTCTTATATGCTGTCTGCCATACTTGCCCTGCACAGTGTTTTTATGTGGGCCGTTCTTTCTCTTTGCTATTTCTTATCCTTGAATCTCAATGAAGCAGGTGATTTTAATTCTTTGTTTATTTGAGAAAAATGTAAGAAAGCATTATGACAACAGCCTGGCACAGAAGCTCAGATAAAATGCAGGTGACAAAAAGGAGAGTGACATGGGAAAGGAGGGGACTTCTGTCCAGTGCTGCCAGGGCCAGGCAGGGCTGAGTCAGCCACCAGGGAGCACAGGTCTGCAGGATCCAGAGCCAGGAGGAGCCAGGCCCTGGGATACTCTGTCAATGGAGAAACTGGAGCCATGGAGACAGGGGAAGCTCCTTCCTTCAGCCTTCTCACCTCACCTCAGCTCAGGAGTCCTGCAGAGCACAGGGGACAGAGGTGTTTGCAGACCTAACTCTACAGTGATTCTCTCACTCCCTCAGGCCTCTTCTGACACAAGGCAGTGAGCAGAGAGAACTTCTCACACCCTAAGTCAACTCTGCTTCAGAGCACAGACTCCTTAATAAGTTCAGGGAACAAGGCTCAGTGCAAACCTCCTGCCCAGGGCCTGGGTTCTGCACCTTCTGGTGCCCACCAACCCCAGCCCACATGGTAGGGAAAGCAGATCTGTCTCTGAGGGAGACTGAAGGGTGTTACCTGTCGGCTGAAGCCCAGACTGTCCTGGAAAAGAGAATAAAATAGAGACTTAAGTACATGGAGGAGATCTGTCCCCAGATTCATGTCCCCAGACTCTGAGCTGCCACCTGAGATTCCTCTGGCACCACAACTCACAGCAGTGATGCCAGAGCAGACTGTGGACAGAGAGAGGGGCTCAGGAAGCCTCAGGCACACACAGCCCAGTGGCTCTTCCTTCTCTCTTCCTCTGTTCCCAGTTCTCAAGTCAGAGTCACCTTAGCTTTCCCATGGCCATATGTTATCACTCCTTAGGATCTAATCCAGTAACTTCAGACTGTTGGGTTCAGAGTTGATTGAAACCTGAGATCACAAGGCCAGTGACATCCCGAGAACAAAGCGTGGCTCTTCCCTGAAATGCTATGGGGTCTTGGCCACCACCAGGCTCCTTACCTTTCTGGTTCCTGAAGTAGATGAACAGCCCCAGCCCGAGGAAGAGCAGACCCAGCACGAAGCCCCCGATTCCACTCAGCATCTTGTTCTGTGCAGATGTGGACTGTGCCCCTGAGAAAGGAAGCCAGGTCTAGAGGTTTTCAGCCCAAATTCTGTTTCCCTTGGGACCTTGAGATGAGGGGGTGGCTGCAGCCAGGGACAAGCAGGTCCCTGGGCTGTGGTGTCACTGGAAGGCTCAGAAGAGTGTGTGGTGGCCTAACTGCTTCCCAGGGGACCAAGGTGCTTGTAGAAGATCACACACCTACCCCTGTGAGCCATGCTCAAGGATAGGACAGCACAGACCAGTGGAAAGTGTGTGGGCATTGAGAGCTGGCAGATGGTAAGCCACGCCCCTCCCTGTGGGCGGGGACTCGCAGGGTCAGAGAAAACTGACAGTGGTATGCCAAGCCCCTCCCTGTGGGCGGGGACTCGCAGGGTCAGAGAAAACTGACAGACAGGGGTATGCCAAGCCCCTCCCTGTGGGCGGGAATTAGCAAGGACAAGAGCTTTTCACTCACTCCACTCCACTGTGACAGGGCTGGCCAGGCTGGGATGCTCCACCTGGCAGGTATAAACCTCTCCACTCTGAGGAACTGTCTCCAGCATCACCAGGGTCTGGAAGGTCCAGTCTCCATTCTGGATCAGGCCTGTGGACACCACCCCAGCCGTCTCCTCCTGGTCATTCCGGAACCATCTGACTTCAATGTGGCCAGGGTAGAAGCCGCTCACAGAGCAGACCAGAAGGTTGTGGTGCTCCAGGGGCTGAGACTTTGTCGGGTACACGGTCACCTGGGGCTCAACTAAGAGGACAAAGGGAGGTGAGAATAAGTCATGAGGGCAGAGCTGTCCTCCCAGGTTGGCTGTCTGTCTGTCTCCATCCAGCCAGGGGGAAGTCCAGGGGCACTAATATTCTAACATAGCTGTCCCAGGACTCAGGGTCTGTTTTCACACTTTCTCTGTCAGCTCCACTCCCTGGAGGAATCACCAGCTGGAGGTGGACATCCTGGCAGTAAGGGAAAGGCTCATCTCCCAGCTGTGGTAACTTCCCCAGGAGGTAAATTACACACATGTGTCCCTAGGCTCTGTCTCTTCTTGTCTATAGATGGTGACGGTTCTGTGTGTGAGGCAGGAAACTTACTGGGATCTCTTTTCTCATCTGTTTTTGCCAAACTCTACATAAATCAACTCTGCCGTATCCTAGGTCAATGTTCTCTTAATGTGTGTTACACAGGGATTCACAGGCACCTCAGCAGGGGCCTGTCAGTGTGAGCTGCAGGAATTGTGGGCTGTGGGCTGTCTGCACCCTGCCCCATGCAGAGCGGTAGACAAGCTGCAAAAGGTGGTACCTGAGGAGAATCCTATTTGAACTAAAGAAGCTCAGGGCCGAGTTTCTTACTGTTTCTGTCTAGACAGCACAGTGAAGCAGCCATTCTTATGGCTTGTCATTGTCAATCTCTCTCCCTCCCTTAAAATTAGTTTAAAGAAGACTTCTTTTCCTGTTCTTATTGTGAGGTCATCTCTATACGGCCTTCTCAAGCTTTGTGGAGAAACCCTACCAAGACCTTGTGTTCTAGAAACAGGGTTTGGGATTTTCAACATCACAAACTGTCCTGGCCAGTGAACACTGCTAAAGCCTCATTAGAATATGAAACATCAATTTAACAAATGCCACCATAAGGTTTGTCTGTAGCCAAACCTGTAGAGCATTTTTTAAATTAGCGATTGTGGGTAGTTCCATCCCTGGGCAGGTGTCCTGGGTTCTATAAGAAAGCAGGCTAAGCAAGCCATGAGGAGCAAACCAGTAAGCAGCACCCTCCATTGCCCTGCCTCAGCTCCTGACTCCAGGGTCCTGCCCTGCTTTATTTCCTGCCCTGACTTCCTTTGATTATGAACAGTGATAAAGAAGTATAAGTTAAATGAGCCCTTTCCTCCCCAGTTTGCTTTGGTCATGGTGTTTCATCACAGCAACAGTAACCCTGACTGGAACGCACACACAGCCAGAGTCACAACACTCCTGGCTGCACCATAGCCTGCCATCTCCAGGTTTCCTCTTTTGTCTCTGCTGCTGTAACTTGTAACACTGGAGGGACATCAGCTGCCTTCCTGGCTCCACCAGCTTCCCTTTCTGTCCCTTTCTTCTCATTCTGGGTGTGGGCGTGTCACCAAACCCTGACATTCAGAACCCCAAACTTGGGCCTTTCTCTGGGGACCAGGAGATATCCTGAGTGACTAGAAATGGAGCCGGTAGACAGCTCACAGGCCAACTGTGGCTCATTTCATAGAAGGGTCTTGAGTGTCTGGATGTCAGTCATCCCTGGGGTCCTGGAACCACAGCCTCTCCACACCAGACAGGAGAGCAGATCTAAGGAGGGTGGTGAGGCTCACACCCTCCCAGTGACACAGAGAAAGATCAGGGACCTGCAGACACAGTCAGCTTTATCTAGATAGCAATGCTAACATATTAAATGAGGGAATGATGAATTAAAGGCCGAGTGTGGATCATCCAGAAAAGTAAAATTATGTGGATTAGGAAACAGACAACAGTGGGGATTCAGACCTAAGGAGCCCAGGAAAAGCCAGCATCACCTTGTGATCCGTCAGTATATGACACAGGTGTCACCTCAGAGGGACAAGGGACAGTTGATTCTAGAGCCAAGCAAGTGTGACCATGGCCCAGGAATGTGAGTCAGAAGACTCCAAATTCCATGTTCCCATATGGTGAGTGCCCTGTGACGTTTCCATGGTAACATAAGAAATGAATTGATGAATAAACAGTTTTCAAGAGCATTGTGGAAGCATCAGCTGGGCGGGGCACAGTCACAAAGTGGAGAAACTGTGACAAGGGCCTTGGGTGCTCTCTGATGACAGTCTTGGGTTTTGAGCCAGGGAAACTGAAAATTCCACACATCCCAAAAAGGTTTCCTCAGTGGTCACAGCGTCCAGTCAGAGACAGAAGGCAAAGAGTGACTATGGAGTGGACTAGGGATCGGCCTAGATTTAGTATAATGAGGTCATGACCTGCAACTTTCCAGCCTCCCCACATCACTGAAGGCCCAGTGAGTCCCCAGCCTGCAGCAGGTCCAGTTCTTTGTGGAATCTCCCCTCACAGGCCACGCCCTCCCCCACCGACTCTCCCCACACAGCTTCCTCTGACACTCATTCCCAGAGAGCTGCTTTTGCAAGCACAGCACACTCTGCTTCCCCTGAGAAAGGAGGGAAAATCCGGGAAACCCTGGGGAGGGGAAGAGAGTTTGGCTGAAGCTTGTAGCTAACAAAGAAGCAACGTCTCCCTCCCAGTCACCCACAGCTGTGAGGTTTGTGCCCCCCCCTGTGACCTGACGTGTCCTGGGGTTCTCACTGAGACCCGCTGCAGGAAAGAGACCCTCAGTCCTTCAGGCCGCACTATAGCTCCTGAGTTCACCCCGTCCACGGCACCCACAGAGTCACTGCACGTCTCTCGTGAGGAGAGAGAGAAAGAAAAACACGTTTCTCAGAATTAGTTTGTGATCTCACCTGGGAGACAAAGGCTGTGTGTGGCTTTAGCCGTGGCAACCCTGCCTGCTGCGCCTGTGTGAGCTGCAGCCACACCCGGGCTGCTGTCCCTCTGTGTGACTCTCTGGGAAGCTCACACTGTGGGCGCGTCCTCATCTCCCTCTCCACCCAGCATCTTCCTAACCCTATGAAGCTGAGATGAGATCATCTTTAACACAGTTTCCTGCGGGAGGACCGTGCGCACACTCCCTCACAGACACTCACTCTCACACTCACTCACACACTCACTCACACACTCACTCACACACTCACTCACACACTCACTCACACACTCACTCACACACTCACTCACAGACACTCACTCACAGACACTCACTCACAGACACTCACTCACACTCACTCACAGACACTCACTCACACAGTCACTCACACACTCACACACTCACACACTCATACACTCACACACTCACACTCACTCACACAGTCACTCACACACTCACAAGTCACTCACACACTCACACACTCATACACTCACACACTCACACTCACTCACACAGTCACTCACACACTCACACACTCATACACTCACACACTCACACTCACTCACACACACACTCACACACATACACTCACTCACACAGTCACACACTCACAGTCGCTCACATATTCACACACTCACATACTCACACACTCACACATACACACTCAGTCACAAACTCACACTCACTCACACTCACACTCACTCACTCACACTCACACAGTCACACACTCACACACTAACACAGTCACTCACGCACTCACACACTCACTCACACACTCATACACTCACTCACACAGTCACACACACTCACACAGTCGCTCACATATTCACACACTCACACTCACATACTCACACACTCAGTCACACACTCACTCACTCCAAGTCACACTCACTCACTCACACTCTCACTCAGACCCACACACTCAGTAACACACTCAGTCACACACTCACACACATACCCACACACTCATTCACACTCACACACTCACTCATACACTTACACACTGACACTCACTCACACTCACTCACACACACTCACACACACTCACACACACTCACTCACACTCACTCACACACACTCACACACACTCACACACACTCACACATACTCACACACACTCACACACTGACACTCACACCCTGTCCCACTCCCCACCCCTCACACCTCACCTCTCCGCTGCACAGTGAAGCTCTCTCCAACCCCGTAGTTGTGTCTGCAGTACGTGTCCACCGAGGCCCGTCTCTGCTCCAGGAGCTCCTTCTGGCCGTTCCAGTACTCTGCGTCCGGCCGCCCCAGCTCGGTCACCGCGCGGTACTCGCCCACCTCGCTGTCGAAGCGCGCATACTCCTCCCGGTTGTGGATGCGTCTCTCCAGATACCGCACGCGCTGCGTCCCGTTGTAGAAATGACACTCGTGTTTAGCTTGTTCCAAGAACCGCGCTGTGGACACGGGAATTATCTCTTCAGCTGCCCCAAGTGACAGCACCCGAGCTCGCTCAGCCACCTCTGATGTCACCACACACGGGACAGAAGGACACAACCCGGCCCCACAGGACAGACGACGACGGGGTGTAAACAAGGACAGGAGGGGGACTAGGAAATCTTCCCCAACTCCTAGGGGAGGTGGACAGTGTCTGCTCATTCTGTCTGTCTGTCTGTCTGTCTGTCTCTCTCTGTCTCTCTCTCTGTCTCTCTCTATTTCTATCTCTGTCTCTATCTCCATCTCTATCTCTATCTCTCTCTATCTCTCTCTCTGTGGGGTTTTGTTTTTGTTCTGAGACAGGTTTCCCTGGCTGTCCTTGAACTCACTCTGCAGACCAGGCTGGCCTCGAACTCAGAGATCTTCCCGTCTCTGCCTCAGGCGTGACCCCCACTGCTGGGGGCGGTCCTTCTGTGTATAACTTTGTCTTATTGTTGATAAATAAAGCACTGCTGGCCAATAGGGAAGTAAGTTAGGGACCAGGAGTCGAGGAGGATTCTGGGAAATGTGGTAAAGTGTAAAGAGTCGCCCTGCGGTCCTGGGAGGAGAGGACCCATGAGGCTGGGGTTCTCGTCAACATAAGTCCTTGTGAAAATGCACACGTTAGTAGTTCTGGGTGAACACTTAAGACAGAACTATGCGACGAGAAGCCCTGGACACTGGCCGACAGCACTGTCACTAATGTAAGTTTGTGTGTTTGTTTGGGGGCTGAAGTGGCGGCAGAACCCAGGCGGCTGGTGGAAACAGTTACCATTACCGTTACACACCACCACCTGACACCACCCTTTCCCTCCCTCCCTTCCTTCCTTCCCCTTCCTTCCTCCCTTCCTTTCCCTTCCTTCCTTCCTCCCTCCCTTTCTTCCTTCCTTCCTTCCAACCTTCCTTCCTTCCTTCCTCCCTTCCTTCCCCTTCCTTCTTTCCTTCCTCCCTTCCTTCCCCTTCCTCCCTTCCTTCCTTCCTTCCTTCTTTCATCCCTTCCTTCCTTCCTTCCCTTTCCTTCCTTCCTTCCCCTTCCTTCTTTCCTTCCTCCCTTCCTCCCTTCCTTCCTCCCTTCCTTCTTTCATCCCTTCCTTCCTTCCTTCCTTCCTCCCTTCCCCTTCCTCCCTTCTCCTTCCTTCCTTCCTTCCCCTTCCTGCCTCCCATCCTTCCTTCCCCTTCCTTCCTCCCCTCCTCCCTTCCTGTCCCCCTTCCCCACCCTCTTATCCTCCCAGCCCCACCCCCACTCCTCTTCTCTTCAGAGAAGGACCTACCCCCCACGGTTATCAAGCAAACATGGCACATTGAGTTTACCTCGTCTAGGTGGAATATGAGAGGAGGGGCCACACTTTTCTTTAACCCTCATCCAAAACCCCCAGACCCCGAGAGAAGGCAGAGGCTGATTGGATTTTATCTCCCACTTTATTATTATTATTATTATTATTATTATTATTAAATAGACTTTTCTATTCTGATCACAGTTTCTGTTCCCTCGACTCCCACAGACCTTCTCCACCTCTCCACCCACCAAATCCACACTCTGTCTTTCCCTCTCCCATAGAAACAGACAGACCACTAAGAGAAAAGGAAAAAGACTAGGATAGGACAAAACAAACAAACACACTGGAAAGCCAAAGAAAAACCATAAGAAACACAGACAAACACAGGGAAAACATAAAAAACACAAAATCTGAAACCATAATATATGAGCATTAAATCCTTAAGGCATAAAGCAAACAAACAGACCAAACAACTCCAAGAATACCCTGGAGTTCCCTCTATGGGAACATCTACTGCTGGGAATGGGGCCTGCCCCTAAGTGTGGTTTGCGATCAGTGGGACTCCTGTAGGTTCTGAGATTAATATAATTACATCCTTTGCTCCTTTCTTTTCATCCCCATGGGTCCTCCTGCAGATCCCTCCTTGCTGTCTTTTGTCATTAGCTGTTATGTTCATGTGTGTATATGTGTGTACATTCCTAAATACACAGACACACCCTTCTCAGTGTGTGTTTAGGACTGACCAAACGCTGTGCTCCTCCCTGGGGAAGACGGTTTCTCCTACACTCCGCATTCCTCAGTTGCCCCTTGTTCCTTGTGTGGGGCTAGAGCCCCGTGGCCTTCCCTGTCACACACTTGGTCAAGGCAAGTGTTGTCCCCTGCTCAGTTAGAACTGGGTGTTGCTGCTGGCACCACAGCTCCAGGGAAAAATGGCCCATTTGGGAATAAACGTGAGAATCGAACAATCCTGTCACAGGCCATCCAGGAGGGACTGGTGTGGGCTCCCAGATTCAGGTCACCTCCCCCCAAAATCAGCTCCCAGCACATGTATCTCTTGTATTCCAGAGGCAGAGGGGGCAGTGGGGTGTCCTCTCTGATCACACCTGCCCCTCTGTGACCCCACACCTGCCCCACCTGGAGCTGGGAGCCAGCTCTCACCTCAGCAGCTCACAAGACACCACCCCTGCATCCCTCATGCTCAAGCTGCTCCTAGACACACCAGGCAGAACACGGAAATCTCTCTCAGGGCTGACCCTGGGCAAGCCTGTGCTGCCCCGGGAATCCAAAGAGAGAAAACAGGTGAAACCCCCACCCCAGACTTTGGAGCTTAAAATTGCCAATGAAGAACGAGTAGAAGAGGGGGATGGAGCTCCATTGACAGGAAGACTTGAGTGACAGGAGGGGACAGCAAAGCACTGTGGGGAGTGACCATGCAGATGTGTCACAGATGTGAGCCAGGAGAAGAGGGGGACTGCAGGTGTCAGGGGAAGGACACATCTCAGCTGAGGTAAAAGCTCCTGCAAGCGCTGACATCATGAGCCACAGTGCACAGGGCTGGGGGTGGCAGCTGAGAGATGAGGCTGTGGGGTCAAGAGGAGCCCCCACTCACAAGACTTGGGGTTGACAGGAGCTTCTGGAAACTACTGGAGAAGTTTCTGGAAATAAATCCATGATCCCAACACTGACCCACAATCTCTTATCTGAATTACAGATCCTGAGAATTCACAAACCAAGGACTTTTAAAAATCAGATGCCATGTGAGCTTCTGGGTTTCCACAGCTAGAGATGGGGAAAGACGCCTCAGATGTGTAGTTTTTCATTTTCACACTTACTCTAACTCAGAAAATGTACAAGACGTCTGAAACAGTCACTCAGATACATTCGAGCACCAGACATTATCACCTCACCAAATGCACAGAGAGATGAAGAAGTCGGTGCCTTTTGTGGGGAAATATCTGTGGCAGTCATCACTACCCACGACTTAGAGAGACAGAGAGACAGACAGAGAGAGAGAGAGAGAGAGAGAGAGAGAGAGAGAGAGAGGATACTGGGAGTCTCAGAGATGGAATTACTGACCTGAATTACGTATTTTGAGACGTAAATGACAACAGTGAGGAGAATGAGTTTGATTTATATAAAAAAAGAAAATGGAGGGAAAATAGCAGTTTCAGAAGTTGTAGGGATAGTTTGTGTGAAGGGGCTGGAGAGATGGCTCAGAGGTTAAGAGCACCGACTGCTCTTCCAGAGGCCCTGAGTTCAATGCCCAGCAACCACATGGTGGCTGACAACCATCTCTGATGCCCTCTTCTGGCACAAAGGTGGACATGCAGACAGAGCACTCATACATTAAATAAATAAATTGTTTCAATTAATTAGTTAAAGAATAGTTTGTGTGAAGGAAAATAATGCAGGGGCAGGAACCTGCTCTGTGGAGTGTGACAATGAGGTGAGAGGCAGTCTGGAAGCCTCTGTGTCCCTTCTTGAGTGAGGTGATAGCACTTACAGAGAGGACACACAGTGTGGCAGCAGGCCTTCATGGTCTGCATGGCCATCCCTGCCAATCCCTAAACAGCTCCATGAAAAACATCGTCTCTTCCCCATTCTGCATCAGTTAAAGCACAGAGGGGTCAGAGGGCTCGTCCACAGTCCCAGGATTTTGGTGTCATGCTTTTAGCAGTGTTAATAACCCTGTCTTTATATCCCATATGCAGACCTCAGACTTTGATTTCCCTGTGTGTGTGGTGTAGACATGGCCCGTGAAACTAGAATTGGATCACAGGATGCAGAGAGAAGTCAATTCAGTTCCGTGTAGGAAAACATGAAATAGAAACAGATCAAGTCACAAACATCAGAAGGCTCTAACCTGCCTCAGAAGAGGCCTCACACACTTAGAAACAGCTCACAGAGTCCAAACTCTCTAAGGCTGCCTTGGCTGCTGTGTGATCCAGGGAGAAAGGGAACTGAACACCACCCAGCAGAGCCCCCATGGCAACAGGCTGCATAGACACTGGAGTCAGGGAGAGAGAAAGACAGAGCCCTGGGTACCCAGGCAGCAGCCTCACAGCCTACAGAGGACACACACTGATCATCCCAAGGATGCCCTCCTGTTCCCGTGACCTGTGATACTCCCAGAGAAATCGTTTGATTACTTCAGTATTGGCCTGTTTTTGGTTGGTTACAATAACAGAAACATATACACAGAATAGAATACACGCATGAAAGTGCTACTTTTAAAGAGAAACCTCTTTGTCCAAAATAGCTCAACACAAGGAGGACAAGCCCTGTGCAAGGGGCTAATTTAACATCATGATTTATGGATCCTCTCCAGGCCCTGAGGGAATACGACATAAGGCTGGAGATGTTACCTGAGGAAACTGAGAGGCAATGGCTGATGTCAGGGGCCTCTCACACAGATTTGAAAGGACATAAACATCCAGACTCAATTCTGGGAAATAGTTTGGATTTCATGCGAGGATGTGGTTAGTCACAGAGAATATCAGTGGATTCAAGGGACTTGACCTGGATAGTGAGGAAGTCGACCCCTTCCTTCCCACACCCCCAACCCCAGCAGCTCAGCCCCTGAGGTTTGCACTTACGTCGGGGGTCCCTGACCAAAGTCACAGGAGGGCTCAGGGCCATCAGGGTCAGGACCACAGCTGCCACACAGGAGCCTCTGGGGAGCCACAGTCGCACCATGTTAGAGGAGAGGAGAGACCCGAATAGGAGGAGCAGACAAACTCACACAGTAGAAACTGTCTCCCTTCTTTACTCATTGGCAGGATAGTAAGAGCCAGGGCAGTCACTGCTCTGGTGCTAATTGGGTAAAGTCAGGGTGAGCAGCCAATCAGCAGCAGAGTAGAACACCAACAAACAAACCAAGAACCAAACAAAAGGACAGTTGTTTTGTGGGGGAAGGGTGACCGTTGGTTTGCAGTTCTTGTCACCTCTTGACTGACCCCATTTCTGTGTGGATGTGGACAGTGCTTACTGCACATAGTGGATTGTTAAAATTTTTTTGTAACAGGAAATGAAGTTGGGAAGGAGAGGTGTGGGAAGGTCCCAGGGGCAGCTGGAAGAAGGAAGTGGTGGCAAACAGTATCAAAATACATTGTATACATGTACAACTCTTTCAAAGAATAAATACTGTATAAATAAATATACAGAGGGTTTTTTAGAGGTTTTTTTTATTTAGTGTTTTTAATGCTTGATCCAGTTGCAGCTGAAACATTAATCAGCCCACAGTGCTGAGCCAGCTCTGCTGTGGTCCGTAATTCATTCATCACTGTGAGCACTGGGGGAGCGCTCACCTCCTACACAGGGCTGTTGGCACAACTGTGTGTCTGAAGCTTGTGGGAGCAAAGGAGGTGACTGAAGATGACAGCAAGCCAGGAACCTTTAGCCTGGCACTTACTGCCCCTCAGGTTAATGATGGAGATGACAAAGGTGATGCCAGTTCATCCACTTCAGGTGAAGTCACCACCATCTCTCACGTTCCCTAGAGCTGGACAAGGCTGTGGTGCTGTGGACATCTCCAGGAGCAGCTTCTCCTAGTAACTGATGATGTCGCAGAATGCCGGCTCCTGATTGGACAGTGGAATCTGCACTTCCTCCATGAGGGAAATGTCTGACAAACTAAAGGAAACTGAAGGATAGTCTTGGTGTGGCCCTAATAGCGGGAGGAGATGGGGGGGGGGGGGTTCCAGCCTGGTCCCTGAACTGTTGCTGATCTCAGTGGTGCCTCCAGAAGCTCAGTCTAGGGTCCCTGTGGTCATCACAGCCCAGTCCTCAAGGGAGACACTCAAAGCAGAGGCTGGATATCCTGGGGGCAGAGGGTGGGGCCCTGCCAGGTTGAATCCTGAGAGCGAGAGTCTGGGGAGTGGGGAGTGTGAGGCAGAACTGGATCTGGACTGAAGCAGTCCTCTGACTTGGTGTGCAGCCCTGGGGGATGTGCTCATCTCTGCGGTTGTCAGCTGGAGGCGGGGCTCCTTTTCCTGATGTCTTTGATCTAGTTTACCTGTTTTATATCTTTAGCACAACACCCTGTGATGCAGGACAGCTGTGGACGCTCAGGGAGGGAACTGGAATTCTCAAAGCTGTGAAGATTAAAATAGAACAGGGAAGAGTGTTGATTTCCTTTTTATCTAAATCACCCATCACCTCACCATGGCAACGCATCCACCACCTTAGAGTTCAGAGCTCACACTGGGCAGATCAAAGTGCTAGGGGTTGGACTTATGACCTCATGCATGCTGGGCAAGTGCCTGCCACTGAGCTACAGCCCAGACCTCTCTCTACTTTGATGAAGAATTTATTAGTTACCCAGGTTGGCCTTGAACTTGTGACCCTCCTGCCTTACCCTCTGGACTAACTGAGATTACAGACTTGTTGTTCTAAAAGGCCCAGGTGGAAGATTGTTAATGCTTTAGATTTCTACATATATTGAGAGAGAGAGAGAGAGAGAGAGAGACAGAGAGACAGAGAGAGAGAGACAGAGAGAGAGAGACAGAGACAGAGACAGAGAGAGTTGGTGACATATCGCAGCATGTCTCATCCAGTAATTCCATGTGGTGTGGACACTGTAGAAACTGACCAACCTGTGGCTGGAAATGGCTCAGTTGGAAATATGCAAATCATACAAGCGTGAGGGCCTGAGTGGAGGTACCCAGAATCCACATAAAAGACAGGCATATTGTCCTTTAGTCCCAGCAATGGAGTGGCTGAGACAGGAGGGTCCTGGGGGCTCAGTGACCTGACAGCCTAAAAGCTCTAGGTCTCTGTGACAGACCCTGTCTCAAAGAATGAGGTTAGTGGTACCCGAGAAAGGACAACAGAGTCTGACCTCTGGCTTCCACATGCCCCCACACACATATTCATACACACACACAGAGACACACACACATCCATACATGCACACACATGCTCTCACATGCCTGCACATACACACCTGCAAACACACACACCCACAGAGACATTAATAAGCCTGTGGACCCCATCATTCCAGTCCATCCTGTAAGTAGAGCCTCCAGAATGTTGTTTAATTAAAAATAAATGAAGTATTTTAGTATTTACCGTTGGTCCACACTAGATGACTAATAATCTTTTAACTGACAACAAGAAATGAATAACAGTTATTCACATTAATGACATTTTGCCTAAATAAAATCAACTTAAACATTTTATAAAATAAGGTTAGGGGAGAGTAAGCCCCTACCATCACCATGTCATCCTCTGTGTCATATTTCAGTAAGCCCAGCACACACCCGCTGACATCGTGGAGTAATCAGACATTAATTGGGATCTAGAAGCCACTGAGTCACTATGTTGTGACAAACATTAAAACAAAGATTTTGTTCATCATCATGTCATATGTGTGCGTGCACACACACACAAAATAAGTAAATATTAAATAATCACCAACTTAAATACAGTAATATATGCTTTATCACAGTAAATAAAATAAGTTAAATTTTGTCCTAAGTATTTTTTAAAGCCCTCCAAAATGTTCACAATGAACAAGCCTCACATTTTCTGTGGTCTCCGGGGAAGCCGGTGTTATACTCTGCACATGGGTCACAGAAGGTTGACAAAGTGGGGAAAGTTAGCCAAGGTGGCTCCTGGGCCAAGGTCAGCAAAGTCTAGTCAGACAAGGAAGTCACCTCAGCCATGGCATTGACAGGAATGGGGATGGGTGTCGGGGTGTTTTTGGTTCCCATGGCTGATGGAGGGGAGCTTTTGTCGGGAGCCGGGAACAAGCAGGAGCCTGGATCCCTCAACAAGCAGGAGCCAGGCCAGGCTTTTCCCAAGGGTGGGGACTGAGGATAGGAGAGGAAGTAAGGAATCCGTCTCCAGGAAACCCAAACAGAGGCAATTTAAGCAGTAATGGGGGGGGGGGGGACTGAGTCTTATAGAGAGGGAAACACGGTCTTTCTCTCTCGTACACACTCCCAGGTCTAAACATTCACCGCCAGAAAATACTGATGCCCACTGCTGCATCTGGCACTGGCGAGAGCTCTTACTGGAAGTTCCCCCCTTTCTCAGGTTTCTCTTCTCCACCAATGGGAATGAAGGGTGAGGTAGCGTCAGCTGTCTCCAGCAGACACTGGTGGCCAGAAGGTCTTTTGTGAATCTTGGGAGAAACTAGGGTGAGGTAGTTGATGATAACATTGTTTCATGTTGGGGATTAGACTTGGAGCCTCACACATGCTGGGCGAGCACTCTATCCCTAGCCCTGCTCCCAGGCCCCCCCCCCCCCGTTGATGTTTGTTAAGGCTGAGAATTTCCTTCAGTTGCAGAATTAGGACATGAATGTGTGCCCAGTGAGAAAAGAGTGTTTGCTGAGTAGTGCAAAGGTGGGGCGAAGCTGGAAGAGCCGGCCGTTAACGTAAATATACAGAATGATGCTGAGTCTCACTGGGCCCATGAAAGGCCTGATGCCTCAGCTGTGACCGCCACAGGCTCTTGCTCAAACTCCTGTCTCAGGGAATGAATTTACTTAGATTTACTTTCTACCAGAGTCTGAGTTAGGGAGCCAGACACCTTCTGATCTCACGGCAGCACAGTAGAGAGTGGAGCCATCACACTGCGTCCCACGGACCACCACAAACTGAGCACACTAAGACAGCCTGAGCCCCCCGGAAAACTTACTAAATGCTGAATTACTGAGAAGTGACCAGAAATGAAATGTTTTAAATTTTTAGCACCATATAGTGAAATAGAACTTGTGAATAGAAGAAATTAATGCACAATTTGTTCTTTGCTGTCCCAATGTCCATAGACCCATGCAGACCTAAAGCCAGCAAGGAACACAGACGGCCAGCATGGCTCTTCCTGTCCACTCTGCTCTCCTTTGTCTCCCAGGCTCCTGTGCTTGAGGACTTGGTCCCCAGCTGCTGTTTCAGGAGGCTGTGTGTTTAGCTGAGGGAGGAGGGACACAGACAGTATTCCATTGAGGGGTATGGCCTGGCCCACCTCCTGGCCGGGCACTCTGGCTCCTGCCTGCTCCCTGGATACGACTAGCAGCCTGAGGCCCTGTGCTCCTTGTATACTGTCCCTTGGCTCCTGGAAAGACACCTGTCTCAAAAGCAGTAACTATCAATTGTTTCCTATACATAAATCATAATTAAGTATTGTGGTGGCTTGAATAGGGATAGCCCCATAGGCTCAGAGATCTGAATGCTTGGTCATTAGGGAGTGATGCTAATTGAGAGGGATGTGGCATGGCCCTTTGGAGCAGATGTGTCCTTGAGGGAGGAAGTGTGTCACTGGGGTGTGCTTGGGGTTTCAAAAGCTCAAACCAGGCCCAGTATCCTCCCTCTCCCTCCCTCCTTCTCTCTGTCTCTGTCTGTCTCTGTCTGTCTGTCTGTCTGTCTGTCTCTCTCTCTCTCTCTCTCTCTCTCTCTCTCTCTCTCTCTCTCTCTCTCTCTCTCTCTCTCTCTCTCTCTCTCTCTCTCTCTCTCTCTCTCTCTCTCTCTCTCTCTCTCTCTCTCTCTCTCTCTCTCTCTCTCTCTCTCTCTCTCTCTCTCTCTCTCTCTCTCTCTCTCTCTCTCTCTCTCCTCTGATGCCTTGGGATCCAGATGTAGAGCTCTCAGCTACCGTGTCTGCCTGCATACCACCATTCTTCCCACCATGATAATGGACTAAACTTCTAAGCCCCAATCAAATGCTTTCCTTTAAAGGAGTTGCCATGGTCATGGTGTCTCTTCACAGCAATGGAACTGACTAAGAAAAGTATCATACATAAA